AGGTGCCATCCAGTCTCCTCCCATATCCTGTGCTGGCCACTTTGTCCAGTGTGGGGACATATGTGCCACCTGTGGTCTGACAACTCCCAAATCTGCATTTCCTGACCCTGTTCCCAAGTCCAGGTCCCACACTCCCAGTGATGCCTCTGTGGGGGCCTGTGTAGATACCTCCATACCAGAGTCCCATTTCCCCTCACTTATTTGCACCATCTCTAGCCAGCCTGGGTCCAAGCACCTTCCCATCTCCACCTAGTCCCCACCTGACTGGATGCAGGAGCCTTGGCTGGGCTCCTGGAGCACTGAGTGCTCCCCTCGGCTCCTCCTATTGAGGCCCTGTACAGACCACTCGGGATAGGAGCCCTGGCTCTCCTGAAGCCTGAAGGCTGGCCTCCCTACCTCAAGTACGTAGAGGTACCCAGTTTGTGCTAACAGTTGTGGGCCCTGACTCCTCTCCTTCCCCCTATAGAGGAAGTCTGCATGGTTTCTCTGCAGGCTCCTGGCTCCCTACATTAGCACAGCAGCAAGTAGACATTGACCCTCCCCCACAGGTCTCAGCACCCAGCCAGTGTTTTTTGAATGAATGCAAGAACCCAGGGAGCAAAGTGAACTCTCTTGGGAGCAGTCCTCCTCAAGTAGCTGTTAAAGGCTGGCTCTCTGGGGTGCCACACTTTGCAGGCTAGTCCTCAGAACAGCCCCTTCCTTCCACGCAAGGTGGATTTTCCATCCTTCCTTCCTAGATGAAGCTTTGAGGCTCAGAGAGGAAAAGCCTTGCCTGAGGTCACACAGTGACATAGGAGATCTGAGTTGCAATCAGTGAGGGGTGGGCTCTGCTCCTCCCCATGTCTTTAGATTGTTTCCTCTACTCGGGAGCCAGGCCAACTTGCTAGGCGACTGGCTGTGGGTGGATGCTTTCCTTGCACTCCTTAGCTGAGGTTGCCATGGGGGCCCCACTGAGCAGGTAAGGGATGCCCAGGGATTCAAGATCCTGTCCTTAACTCGTCTATGGCACAAACTGACTCTCCCACCTCCCAAAGACCCTGGCCTCTCTTCTACCTCCCACCTGCCAGTGGCAGAGGCTGCAGGTAAGGGATGCCCAGGGATTCAAGATCCTGTCCTTAACTCGTCTATGGCACAAACTGACTCTCCCACCTCCCAAAGACCCTGGCCTCTCTTCTACCTCCCACCTGCCAGTGGCAGAGGCTGCAGGTGCCATCCAGTCTCCTCCCATATCCTGTGCTGGCCACTTTGTCCAGTGTGGGGACATATGTGCCACCTGTGGTCTGACAACTCCCAAATCTGCATTTCCTGACCCTGTTCCCAAGTCCAGGTCCCACACTCCCAGTGATGCCTCTGTGGGGGCCTGTGTAGATACCTCCATACCAGAGTCCCATTTCCCCTCACTTATTTGCACCATCTCTAGCCAGCCTGGGTCCAAGCACCTTCCCATCTCCACCTAGTCCCCACCTGACTGGATGCAGGAGCCTTGGCTGGGCTCCTGGAGCACTGAGTGCTCCCCTCGGCTCCTCCTATTGAGGCCCTGTACAGACCACTCGGGATAGGAGCCCTGGCTCTCCTGAAGCCTGAAGGCTGGCCTCCCTACCTCAAGTACGTAGAGGTACCCAGTTTGTGCTAACAGTTGTGGGCCCTGACTCCTCTCCTTCCCCCTATAGAGGAAGTCTGCATGGTTTCTCTGCAGGCTCCTGGCTCCCTACATTAGCACAGCAGCAAGTAGACATTGACCCTCCCCCACAGGTCTCAGCACCCAGCCAGTGTTTTTTGAATGAATGCAAGAACCCAGGGAGCAAAGTGAACTCTCTTGGGAGCAGTCCTCCTCAAGTAGCTGTTAAAGGCTGGCTCTCTGGGGTGCCACACTTTGCAGGCTAGTCCTCAGAACAGCCCCTTCCTTCCACGCAAGGTGGATTTTCCATCCTTCCTTCCTAGATGAAGCTTTGAGGCTCAGAGAGGAAAAGCCTTGCCTGAGGTCACACAGTGACATAGGAGATCTGAGTTGCAATCAGTGAGGGGTGGGCTCTGCTCCTCCCCATGTCTTTAGATTGTTTCCTCTACTCGGGATGGACTGCCATCAAAGAGAAGCCAAAGGGTCCAGGTCAGCTGGCAATCCAGAGGGGGCTGGATGCAGACCATCCCCCCCACCTGACTCCCTGCTTCCTGGTGGCCTTAGGGCATGTGGGGGATGTGTGTGGAGTAGGACCAGCCCCTACCTGCATTGGGCAGACCTCTGCACACACGCTGGATCTCCAGGGGCCTCTGTCTCTAGCAGACAGGAGCAGGCTTGAGGAAGGGACAGGGATGGTGTGAGGAGGGTGAGGCTCTGATAGCAGACTGGGACAGGAGCACTTCCATTCCCACAAGGCAGTCCTCCCCTGTGCATGGAAACCCCACCACAGCCTGGCCACAATGGTGGTCAACACGGGGTCCTGTTCTGCATAGGTGCCCAAAGAAGAAAGCATCAGGCTGTGCAGCGGTCTGGGACGCAGCATCCCAGTGAGGGAGGAAGGCATTGGGTAACCAGGTGGCCTGGGGGAGGCCGGCTGGGGGCCATTGCTAGGCTGCACCAAGTCAGTGTTCCATTCCTCACCAAGATCTGGCTGGTGGCACAGTGACCTCCTCAAGGGAACACCTGTAATGTGCAAACATAGTGCCTAGGTGACAGGGAGTGTGTGGTAGCTCCAGGGTGGCAGCCTGTGTGGGTGGTCTCTGGGCCTCTGTCTTTTTGGACTTGTTGTGTGGGAGCTCTGAATTGAAAGAAACAAAAGAAGGAAATGGCAGGAGGCCCACTGTGTCCCAAGAGCCCTGAGTGGGGCTTGGGATGTGTCAAAGGCCCTGTTAGGAGGTGGCAGGTGCCTGAGAGAGGGCTGTGTCTACAAGCAGGCCCAGCCGAAGGTGCTGGAAAGTAAAGGTCCCCAAGCCTCTCATCCCAGTCCCCATCCTCCTTCCCTCTCCTGTGCAGGGGACAGCAGCAGACAGGCCTTGAGAGAGGCTGTGACAGCCAGCAAGGCTTGCTCCTCTATAACAAGGGCATTGTGGAAACTTCTCCAGGTCCTGTGGTTAGTGAACAGGAAAAGCCAACTTGAAAGGGGGCTCAGGCAACATCAAGGCCCCTGGGGAGGGAGGTCCACCAGCTCTCAGGAAGGCCAGCCTCCTGGCCCCAGTTCCCTGGGCCCAACGTACTCTGTACCCACGTCCCTCCCCCCACCAGGTTGAGCTGCTCCCAAACGCACCGGTAAAGACCCAGAGACTTATCCTGTCTGACTGGGGCTAAGTCCAGCGATTATCCTGAATCCCCACTCTGGGCTATATGAAGGAGGTGCCCAGCAAGGGTCAGGGCCTATGGGACCCTCAGGCCGCGGGTCAGAGGGTCACATCCAGGAGCCAGAATCTAGAACAGCTGAAGGGCTGGGTTTCCATTGTCTCCTGCCCCGCCCAGCCCCCAGCTCCGTCCACCACTGCCTTTGCCTCTTCTCCAGCCCCTTGGGGGTTGGAGGTTCCCTAGATAGGCCTTCTAGAAGAGCTGAAACAGTCAATGTAAATAATTGATGCTAGCTTTTAAAATTAAATTTTAATACATTCTTATTAATTTCAGACAAACGCCTTGGCAGGTCATTCCTTTTGAGTGATTGAGGAGGCTGAAGACAGATGAGGGATGGCCCCTGCCTTTGGGTGGACGAGACCTGTTAGGAATGGGATCCTCACTGGGCCCCTCAGCGTCAGGGCCCGGCTTCCTGCAGAGCTGGGAAGGCTGGAAGGAGCTGTGGCCCTGTGCGGTGGCAGGTGTCCTTCCTTAAGGCAGACCCCGGGCTTGGGATGGAGGTGTCTCCAGCTTGGCCCCTGGAGAGCAAGACTGCCCTCCTTTGCGCTCCTCGGGGTGGAAGAACCCCGCCAGTTACTGAACAAGTGGGGAGCCATTGGTGGATGGATGGATGAACACTTGGATGGCGGGGGGGGGGGTTGGTTTCATCCTGGCTGGCTCTGACCCTGCGAGTGGACGGCTCCTCCCACCCTGCGCTGGCTCCAGGAGGCCAAGCCTGCTGGGTGCTGGGTGTCCTGGGGAGAGCTGGGGCTCCTGCACGGAAACTCACAGCCAGCCAGGGGAAGGCTGGAGAAGCCGCGCATCCGTGCGTAGGACCCAGGCATGCACTGCCGGTGTTTATTGAGCGCCTGCTATGTGCTGGGACCCAGTGCAGGAGATGATTGCGGTGATGGGAATTCGGAAAGGTGGGCCTGGAAAAGAGGGGCGTTGGGGAGGGGAGGGTCGTGCTGATGATGTGCGCCAAACTCTTCCTAGCGAACTCTGGTCCGCAGGAGGACTTGTAGAAAGAGGTTCGGGCTCGTGGTTGTGTACAACTTTTAGAGTTTGCTAGGAGGGAAGCCCACCGGGGGTCCTTTTCCTGAAATTCCTTTCCCTAGCCCTGCCCCTCTACAGCCGCCAGTGCGCGAGGGCAGCAGAGCGACCGGTCTGCTCCTCCCGCCTCCCCTCCCCCCAGCTTTCAGGTGAGGAAACTGAGGCTGGGGGAGCCCCGTGAAGGCCTGCTCAGGCACCGGGAAGTTGCTGGCCGAACCTAGCCGCGGCCCCGGGGCCGGGCTGCGCCCTCGCCCGGCGGGGCGGTGGGGGAGGCGGCGTGGGGCCCGGACCGAGCGGAGCGCGCTCCCGGCGGACGTGGCGGCGGCGCCCGGCGCGAGGGTCCGGGATGGGCAGTCATCAGTCTTCCCAGGTCTGTGGCGTTGGTCCCCGGGTTAGACCCCCTCACCCCCTTTCGCGGAAGGACGGGGGAAGCCCGAGCGGCCTCTGCCGGGCGCAGCAGAGCCCGCTGCGCGCAGGAAGTGCGATCCCGCGCGGGCCGCTGGCGGTCCCCGGGGCTGGCCGGCGCCCACAGGGTTAATGGCGGCGGGTGGTTCCCCGAGGCGGGCGGAGGGGTGCCTGTCCGCGCGGGGCCGGCCCGGGAGGGTCTCCAAGTGGCGCGCGGTCGGGTCTGCGCAAGCCGGCCCGGGAGCCCCGCGGGCGAGCCGGGCGCGCCGGGGTTAATCCCTCGGGCCCGGGAGGGGCGAGCCAGGCCCCGTACCCCGGGATCGGAGGGCGGCGGGGTCCCAGAGCGAGGCACGAGTGCGCGGTGCCATCCCCTCGGGCTGCGCGACTGCCAGCTTGCCAGCTCCCGGTCCCCGTCCCCCAGCCGGCCCGGGTGCGCGGCTCCAACACTCTCCACCGACCCCGCTCTCCTGCGCTGCGGGGCTCGGCTTCTTCGGGGAGGGAGCGCGGGCGCGAGGGGAAAACGCGGCCGGGGGAGCGCCCCGACAGTGAACGGGGACGGCCGGGTCCCCTGCGCGGGTCGAGGCCGAGCGCCCCGAGTCCGCGGCCGGCCCCCGGGGGGCGTAACTCGGCGGCGGCCCGGGCCGGCTCACCTGTTACTTGGCCGCGGACAGGCGCGCCCACTGAGGCACTGGGGTGCGGGCCCGGGGCGCGCGCGGGGCTGCCACGGAGCGAGACTCCGGACGTCGCCCCGACCGGCCGCCCCCCGCGCTGACCATCTGCTTTGCTCTCCCGCAGGCCTCTGCTGCAGACATGGAGAAACTCAGGTGAGTGCCCCGCTGGGGCCCCGCGGGCCGGGCAGGGCGAGGGCGAGGGCCGCGGGGTGCGGGGAGGCGGGC